ATTTAAAGATAAAAAATAAAAGTTTCCAATCTTTTGCATCACAGCTACAAAGTTGTTGGAAAAAAATAAAGCTGCAACTACCAAAAATAACTTTGTCACTGATGTACATCACTCAGCAAGAAATCCACCACTAGGGAGCAGTTTTATTAGGTAAGCAATTCTACTGATGGTACAACCATAGAGAAAGATAAATAACTAAAATGTTAAGACATTCTCAACACATCATTATGAATTCCAAAGTCTGATCTGTGTTCTGCTTCATTTTATAGGATAGAAAACTGTCCCTTGGAGTCTGTGGAACGTGAGGTCTAATCACAGCCTCAGTGCCCTCTCCTTAATTAACACACTGTTAATTTCTGGTTTCATAGAAACAGACAACCAGTACATGATTTTACCACTTAAAAAAAGCATTTACACTTATCTAAATATGTAAAAAAATGGGTTGAGTCGGGATTCTCTCCTTTTTAAAAACGTGTTTTCTAGAACTACTAAAAAACTTGCATTTACAAAATAGTTGATAAAAATATTCCTCTGAATTGTACAAGAAGAAAGATTTAAGGACCACCAGTTACAGATGTGGGAGCAGGTGTCACTCAGACTTCACTTCTTTCTCTGCAGCTGCATCAGGTGCTGGGGTCTGGAAAGGGAAAAAAAAACCAGAACATTTCAGTTCAGGAAGTTTTTAATGGCTCTGATTAGTTTGGAGTGGTTTTAATGCACATTAAACCCTGCACAGAATAACCCTGACTTATTCCTGCAGATTTCTTTTAGATCATGACCTGCTAAACCAAGCTGTCACACAAAGGCTCCTCAGATCCACCAGGATGTTGATTTGTTACTAAACACATACTGCAAGGCATTTTAATTTTAATTGGATTACTGCCTTTATGACAGAAAAAAACAGCTTTTACAGCTACAATTAATATGAGGTGTTTAGAAAATCCATGAGGTAACACTTCATGCCTTTAAATTTCACTGCCACACTTAAGATAGTCTACAGATCTTAACCCTGTTTTATTTAATTCTTAGCAAACAATAACATCCAACAGGGCAGACTCTGCCTCTTCTAGACTTTGGTATAAAATTACACCTGGAATTTTGGGTGGTGTGACCAAGTCATCATCCATTCCCTGTAAATTTACATAATCTCTGCACCAGTGAACTAAAGGGACCCCAGGTGGGAATGCTGCCAAACTTGGTTCCACTGCTGAAATATTACAAGCACAAATTAAAAACTGCAATAATGCCAAAAATTGAGTCAGCTGAAGAATTTGTAGTTAGAGCACAACTTTTTCACACTGCCAGCATGCAAATGATAAACTGTTACCCCAGAGTAAATCCTCCTGCTCACTGAAGTACCATCCTGTACCTTCCCTGCCCAAAAACCCATCATCTACCTAAAACCAAAATATTCCATGGAACTCCTGAACATGTTTCTGTCACAGAAACCTGATGTCACTGCCACCAACTCCAGGCCCATTACCTGTTTGTGTTTCATCCCTAAATCTGTATCTGACTATGTCTGCATTCCAGGAGTGCAGTACAGAGTGGAGGATGCTGTAAGTGGCCTGATCTGTGACTCCAAAAAGTTCAGCCACTCTGGCACTGTGGTGCAGCCAAAACTCACCTGGCACAGTCACTGCTCCAGCAACAACAGCTCATTAATTGTTGAACTTTGTCCCTGCACCAACCTGTCCCTTCTCCCAGCAGGGTCTGTCAATGTCACCCCAACTTTGCCCAAATCAACTCTGGGTTTTCACTCAAAATTCTTTCCAGGCCCAAGCAAAAGTATTTCATTTCTCAAGAAACTTTTTTAGGATAAAAACCCCAAACTTCTCAGTAACAGCAAAACCCAAACCCAGCCCTCCAAAGTTCACCTCCTCAGTTTTAGCTTCCCCATTTTCTGCAGGCAGGTTGTCCTTTGTCTGCTCCTGGTTTGTCTCTTCTGTCTGTTTTCCTTTAGGCCCCTTCTTCCCCTTTGATGGAGCTTTCTTGTCCTCAGATTTGTCCTACAATGAAATACATTTCCAGTAAGTCAATTGTTATAATCTTCCAGGTAAACCTTGAAAATAATAAAAAGCACAGAAAACCAAGATGGATTTGCTAAGCTACCAACAACTCCTGATAACCCACTTATAAAATATTTCAGAATTACATAATTGTAACATACTGACTTCTATGAATGCCAAAATATATTTTTCTTCATTAATATTTATTTTAAAAGCCCACCAAGTAACTCCATAATGAGCAAACTTCTCACAACTGGAAGAAACACTGTGAGGAAAATTTTCAAAACTGTTGATGCAAAAAAAAAATTTTTTGATGAATCAAATAACAAATCTTTGACTGTTAAATAATAGCTTGAAGTAGTTTTAAGCAGAAAATCAGATCATATATCAGTCAACATCAATGAGCAGCAGTATGTACAGATGCATCACAGACACTTAAAAAAAACCAAACAAAAAGGAAATTACAACTCTGTAGCATTGGAAAGCTTCCCCAAATTCTTTAGGCTTACAGCCCTGAGTGGGAACACTGATACTCAAACCACCAAAATGAAGGTGGATTCCTCATCAGTAACTGCTCAAGAGGATTAATGCAATGAAAACATCAGGAAGTCTGGAAAAATTATGAGTTTATCTCAGAGAATCACAGAACAGTTTGGGTTGAGAGGGATCTTAAAGATGATCTCATCCAACCCCCAACACCTTCCCCTGTGCCAGGTGCTCCAAGCCCCAGTGTCCAACCTGGCCTTGGGCACTGCCAGGGATCCAGGGGAAGCATGGAATTCCATCCCAGCCCCTCCCCACCCTCACAGGGAGCAATTCCTGCCCAATACCCCATCCAGCCCTGCCCTCTGGCAGTTTGAAGCCATTCCATGTCCCTCCACCCCTTGGAAATTGTCTCTCCATCTTTCTTTTCAACTCCCTCCAGGTACTGAAAGGTCACGGTGAGGTCACGCCAAAGCTTTTAATCAATACATCACAAAGAAAAGCTTATGATGACAAAGGAACACTTAACACAAACAGCAGCAAGCCAACAGACACAAGGCCTTTTTCAATTCTCCCAAAAAACCAAAGAATTTTACATCTCACTTATTTTCACTCTGAAAGCTGTGCTGAAAAATTCAAACATCATGCAAACCCACCTTCTTACGGAACACCAGAAAGCTTGATCACATGAACGGAAGCACATATGGTTTTTAAGTGGCTAATACAATTTTTTCCCTGTCCTAACACACTGCTTTAAAACATCAATAGGTGTGTTTGATCCCCTCTCATTACACAGATGAAATACAACGCTATGCACAGAATCATTGCGTTTGGAAAAGCCCTCCAAGATACTCCAGTCCAACTTTAACTGAGCACTGCCCTGTCAACCAGAGCAGAGCAAACAACATCCAGGCCTATCCTTGGACACCTCCGGGGATGGTGACTTCACCACCTCCCTGGGCAGCTTTTCCAATGCCTGACCAGCCTTTCTGTGAAGAAATTCCTCCTGATGTCCTAACACAGTTGCTTTGACAATCAGGTAGTTCCACCCAATACTAAACCACAATGTTAACACGCCTGGATCCGTGCCCACACTTCCATGCAATGCCTGGAGCTTAACAAGGATCTACAGCCACAGTGATGGAATGTACCTGTAAATACTGGCAAAATCACATCAAAACAACGCTTCAGCCAAGTTCCCACAGGGAACAAAACCATTCCAGCACGGTGCACCGAGGGCACCCCCTCCTCTCCCTTCCCTTTTCCAATTCTCCCTCACCTTTGCCGGTAACTTCTTAGGTTTCGGCTCTGCTTTGGCAGGCGCGGGTTTCTGAGGAGAGAGAACGAGTCAGGCGGGGACCCAGCCCTGGGCACCCGCTGCGGGCACGGCCTCCCGCCCACCCCGGCCGGGCCCCGCCGCTCGGCACTTACCGCGGAGAGCCGCGCCGACCGCCCCTTGGGCTGCGGGGGGAGACACACACACACGGACACAGACACAGAGAGAGAAGGGCGTGAGGGGCGGGCGGGCCGCGGCAGCCCCGCCTGCCCGCCGCCCTGCCCGCTCCTTACCTCCTCGGGGGCGTCCCCGTCCGCCACCGTCACCTGCAACACACACACGGCTCGTCAGCGGGGCGGCACCGGCCTCTCCGCCCGCCCCTTCCCGGTCCCGCCGAACCCCTCGAGCCCCCCACACGGCCCGGCCGGCCGCGCCACGCGGCGCACGGGGCAGGCGCCGCCCGCTCCCCACACGCCCCCCGCCCGTCGGCTCCGCTCGCTGCCGCCCGCCCTCACCTTCCTCTTGGGCATCTCGAGGCTCCCGGCCGCGTCGGCTGCGGCTGCTGCGAGCGCTGCTGCGGCCGCCTGCGCGCCCCAGCCCCGTCCCTCCCCTGCCCGTCCCTGCCCTGCCCATCCCAGCAGCGCCAGCGGCGCCGCGGCAGGATCCAGCCGGAT